CAGGCAGATGCTGCATCACTGAATCAACCAATGGAATGAGTTTGGGGCGGAGCTATGCCTTTGCTCGACCAATGGCAGAAGGTGGGCGTGTTCTAACAGTGATAAGACACTTGAGGCTGTTTAAGTGTGAATCCAGTCACAGCTGAAGGGGTTACAGGCCCGTCGCTGCTTGTTGTGTCTAACAGAGGCCTTTAGGTGCAACCGTCCTCACAATACAGCCCGGCCTCTTACATTACTGCTCAAGTAAGTCACAGACTGGATGTAATTACCTGTCACATTTCTCATTTCACACACCAGCGCGAGGTCGACCCCAAACACACACTGTACAACAGCAAGAGAGCGGGATCTCTTCTTTAATATTCATTATAGATGTGTGTGTGTGTCTTTCTCAGTTTCAGCTCTGTATTCTTCAGCCCCAGTTTTTCCTCTCTGTCCTGTAGACCAGGGCTGTAAAAAACATGTCCCAAGGGCCTGTCACATCCTGTGGAGGAGCTCAATTCAACCGGGGTGATTAAAAATCACAAGTAAAACATGGAATAGAATAGAATAGAATTAATTTATTGAAATATATAATAAATATATATATATAAATACACACACATGCATGTATATATTTCAGAAAAATATTCTATGTTTATATATTAAATATATTTATACATAATATACATTTTATGAATATAAATATATACATGTAAATACATGTAAATATTTTCAAAATATATACTGTACTTGTGTGTCTTTATATATACATAATAAATATACACAGTACACACACATGTATTATGTAAACAAAAACTTTTATTTTGGATGCGATTAATCACGATTAATCATTTGACAGCACTAATATATATATATATATATATTTATTTATTTATATATTAAGAGTTCATTTGCAAAACAGATTTTTTGATTAGGTAAAAAATATCTTAAAATACTAGTTAACTAACACAATAAAACACAATAAAAACATGATAACATAATAAAAAACATGATTTTTTATTGAGTTATCTGTTTTTGCAAATAAACTCTTGATATATATATATAACATTTAATACATATAATATATAAGATAATATATAAGTAGTATTTCACATTTTATGCCAATTTATTAAAGCTAAATTATCCAGCAAAAAAACTGTGCTTTCACTTTTTTCAGGTCAAAATTCCTAACGTTGCCTATTTTAACAGTAAGAATTTAATATTAGACTTCATTAAGACTGTATCAGGGTTAACAAAAGAAAACCTTGGTGTGTCCTGTCCTTTAAAAGAAAAAAATAACTTTTTGAATAAATAGATATATAATCTTTTTTTTTTTTTAGCAACTTAATACTAAAGTATTGGCGTGATGCATTTGTTCAGATCTCTGAGGCTGATTAGGAGCAGCAGTAATAGCAAGTCTTTTCTTAGTAAGCATCAGTAAGTATGTTGCTGAGTGTTTTTGGGTGGGATCCATTAGGGGTGTTCGATGGTCATTTCACAAGATCCACTCTTATGCAGGGTATGACAGTGTTCATGGGTGTTGATGGCTGCTGTGAGAGTGATGTGCTCTGAGTAATGCACTGCAGCTATTTAGAAAGAGAAAGTGAGAGAAATCGAAAGAGAAAAAGAACAAGTCAGAAAATAGGAGCATTAAACCCCTTTTTAACTCTTTCCCTACCAGTGTTTTTTTGTTGCCAGCCACCGCCAGCATGAATATTTTGTTGTATGAATATCTGAACATGCAATAAGAACAAAGCCTCTGCTTTTAAACAAAACAAACTAGCTTCATGCATTCTTTTTTATCAATACCTGAATGTGGGCAAGTTTCATTAAAAAAAAATAAAAAATAAATAAAAATATATTGAACAAAAAGCTAAGAAAATGGCAGGGAAAGAGTTAATGTCAAGGACTATTTAATATTTTAAAAATATTTAAAAATACATTTGATTACAAATAAACAAAACATAAATTAATAAATAAATAAACAAACAAACAGCTAGAACATGGCCTTTAGCATATAGAACAATCCATTAGGCAGAGGCTGGCATTTCTCTCAGGATTAAGATCGCAAACTCGGATTGAAATGGAAAATTAAAGTGGGCGATGAGGATTAGGGGTCGTATAAGATGTGCTGTAGCTCTAATAATCCAGCAATCTTCCTCACAGCAACAACACAGCTAAAGTTCAATACAGCAGCAGATCGCTCCGGCACCGATATCTGCGACGGGATTCAGTGCTTTAATATTCAAAGCACCAGTGATGTTTTCTTCTATGTAATACAGGCTGAAAGACTGAAATTGCTTTGTTTCACTTGGTGCAATGCATTTATTCTGTTTGCTCACCAGATGGTGTGAATGAATGTGGTACTGATGTTTAACTGCTTTAGGTTATTCACCCATGACAGCGATGAAGTAATGCAATAATACAGAGCAGGACACACCCCAAACTAGTCAAAATGATTTAAGAATAAAATGGTATTTAATGGTGTAAAGCAAAGCAGAGTAGTTGTGTATAGTATTTTATCCAAAAATAAGCACATAATTTGGTGTTTAAACCATGATGTAAAATTACTTTTTGTGTGAAAAACAGCAATATTCTGAACTGAAGAACTGGAAACATTCAGATTCATGAGCATTCATTTTTAATTTGATTTGCCTCAACACACAGGAATTTATGCATCCATCCATCTATTCATCTATCCACCCACCCAACTATCCAGTCATCCATCCATCCATCCACCCATCTGTCCATCCATCCTTTCATCCCTCCATCCCATCCATATACTGTATCTTTCCATCAATCCATCAATTACCCACACATCCATCCATCCATCCATCTGTCCATCCATCCTTTCATCCATCCATCCCATCCATATACTGTATCTTTCCATCAATCCGTCAATTACCCACACATCCATCCACTCATCCATCCATCCATATATCCATCCATCCTTTCATCCCTCCATCCATCTATTCATCTATTCACCCACCCAACTATCCATCCATCCAACTACCAATTCATCTATCCATCCATCCATCCATCCACCCATCTGTCCATCCATCCTTTCATTCCTCCATCCCATCCATATACTGTATCTTTCCATCAATCCATCAATTACCCACACATCCATCCATCCATATATCCATCCATCCTTTCATCCCTCCATCCATATATCTATCCATCAATCTATCATTCACCCATCCCTCCATCCATCTATTCATCTATCCACCCACCCAACTATCCATCCATCCATATATCCATCCCTCCATCCATACATCTATCCATCCATCCATATAACCATCCTTCTGTCCATCCATCCATATATCCACCAATCCATCCAACTTTCCATCTATCCAACTATCCATCCATCCATCCTTATATTTATTCATCTATCCATCCATCCATCGATTCTTATATTTATTCATCTATCCATCCATCCATCCATCCAACTATCCATCTATCTATCCATCCAATTATCCATCCATCCATCCATATATTAATCCATTCATCCATCCATCGATTCTTATATTTATTCATCTATCCATCCATCCATCCATCCAACTATCCATCTATCTATCCATCCATCCATCCATATATTAATCCATTCATCCATCCATCCATCCATCCAACTATCCATCCATCTATCTATCCATCCAATTATCCATCCATCCATCCACCCATATATTAATCCATTCATCCATCCATCCACCCATCCATCCAACTATCTATCCATCCATCCCCCCATCTATCCACATAGCCATCCATCAATCCATGGATGGATAAATTTGAGCGCATGGATCTCATAATGGCCTCAGCAAAAACTTAATGAAAAGAGCAACTAACAATCAGGAACAACCTCCTGTCGTTCCTCCAGTTCAGCCAAACCACACAAGAAATAAAGTTCTGTCTGGATTGTACAACATTCCCACAGTCAGGAGTGCTGTAGATCTCAGGCTTCTGATTTATTGGTTTTGTGCATCAAATCCTAACAAAGGATTATGAATGGAACAGGACAATGAGTCCAGCCTCACTATAACGCAACACCCATGACTGCAGAAGCCTCAAGGATATACTATCAGAAATATGAAAAGAAACAGTCCCATGAGAGCATGACAAAGCCAACGGGAATACAAATGATTTCCATTACTCCTCATTTATGACCCGAAGAGCTTTTTCAAATAGACCAAAAAGCTCCTTTGACTATCAACCAAAAAAATATTCATACTCGTAATGGAAGGGCTCTACAGAAAATGTCAAATTAATGAAAGGCTACTTTGAATAATTCATATGCCATTTGAAAATTTGTTTGTGACTGAGTGGCAGAAATGTTGTGAAATGGAAACTGCGTCTCTGCCCTTTGAGTTCAACTTAATTTTAAAAAGCTTCACTGCATAAGAGTGTCCAATAATCTCATAAAAACGTTTTCATCCTCAATCTGCGCTCATGCAGAGAGCGTGATATTCTAGAGCAGTGGATCTGGTGGGTCACGCCCTAAAAATGAGCCTCGGGTCTGTTCTGATGGGTCGTGGGAAACAAGGGAAAAAACAATGCTGAATGCCAATATAAAACTGCAACAGGCCATATAAATATGCATAATTAGAACAGCCAAATAAATAAGCTTCAAGTTTTGAAAGGGAGGAGAAAAAAATCCCAAATACTTTGTTGTTGACTTTGCATCTAAATTCCGTGCAAATTCATCTGTCACTTGCCAGAAGAGAGTCTAATTAGCCAACATAAAAATGAAAAAATATTTATATATATATTTTTTATTTTTATTTTTTACAATTTATTTTTTTTTTTTATTTATTTTTTTTTTTATTAATTAATTTATTTTAAAATCATTTTATTATCGTTTTATATTAATATAAAATGATAATGATTTTAAGGTTAATTTTACATAAAATCAGTACTGTGCTGATTGCACTGCACTAGATTCCCAGTGTAAAAGCACAATGTTAGATGCACGTTGCAACACAGAAGGTAAATAAACAGAAAACACATCTGCTTTCTGTGAGACTCACAAGAAGAACTTCTCCTCCCAGACTGGGTTGAGATTGCCAAAAACGGTTTTGGTCCTGCGTTTGGTCTTTCCCACTTGTACAGTGACGTAGGGGTCGCTGGAGCCCGTCTTGTCTTTGGCTTGCAAACCTTGAGCACATACAACTAGAGAAGAAAGACAGAAAAAAGACAACGTTTTGTGAATTGGGCATTCATGAAACAAGCAAAACAGCATTTGCATGGGAGACAACAATGACTGAAGAAAAGAGAAACTACTAACTCTACACTAACTGAGGCTTCTGAGTGCATTATACTGATGCTGACAGAAATGCATGAATTGCATTAAAAAAAAACACACTGTGTGTTCATCACAGTGTGTTTAGTTTTGCAAATCTGCAAAATTGTGATATTTAAAGGTAAAAATTCAAACATTGTTTTAATTTATTATGTGAAAATATTGGTGCCCAGAGCAGGGTTATAGTAGTTAATTAAAACTAAAAACTTAATTAAATATATATTTTTATTACATTAAATAAAATAAACATTAACTGAAAATAATTACTTTTATTTATATTATTTCAGCGAGTTGCCAAGGAAACATTTCTAATTTTCAATTACTTTAACTACTAAAATAGCTAAAACTGAAGTACTAAAATAGCACAAACTAAAATAAAAATGTGTTATTTAAAGACATGTATAAAAAAAAAAAGTAAACCAAAAATATAAAGTAAAAACTAATTCAAAATATTACTAAAATCTTACTTAACACTGGCTCAGGGTTTTATACAATCTAAAAAATATAGATTTTTCAATGTTGTAAATAAAACAAAGATTAGTGGAGGATGTTATTAAATACGATTTCAATTTACCTACTGCAAAAATTCACGTTTAATTCAATGTGTTACTTGCCATTTATTTTTATTTATTTGTGAAATGTGCTATCAATTTCTAAGTGAAAACAGTTTCTACAGCATTTTTTTTTAAATGTAGGACCACAATACATCTTTGAACTTCAGTCATGTCCGGTGTGTATGTGTGTGTATGTACAGCACCATTAATAACTAAAAAGTCAATTCAAAACAGACGAATGTGCAACAATACAACATAAAAGCAGTGTGTAGCCTGAGTGGCACTGAACTCAGTCAATGGGGATGCCATTCGTCACAGAGCCAATAGTACTTCACAGGAAGCTCTCGTCTCATTAATTATGAACGAGCAGGGTGCTAAATTATTCAGGGAACATATATCCATGGGCTTGGAGACAGACAGAGATTGGTGCAATGTCACTGGGCCAGTTGAAGAGGGTAATATAGTCGGGATAGTTTAGCTGGAATGAAAGAAGGACGGCTCTCTGAGTGTTTGTGTGTGTATCCAGAGCTGTGTTCACACATTCGTGTCACATCAGTATGTCTCACAGTGACGCTCAGATTGTTTTTTGGCTCATGGCACAACAATCTATGTCTGTACTGCAAAAAATAAAATAAAAAAATACATATATATATATATATTTAATTTTATTGTTCTTATCCCTTTGGCAAATAACAAATTTGAAATAAAAAAAATTACAATTAAAAACTTTTTATCTCACAATTCTGAGGAAAATGTCTGAATTGCAAGATATAAACTCAGGGTTGTGAGGAAAAAACTGTCATAATTATGAGAAAAAAAGTTGCAATTACATTTATTTTTTATTGCGTGGCAAAAAAAAAACCTTAACTGCAAGACATAAACACAGAATTCAGAGAAAAACTGTAAACATTTCAAGATAAAAACTCGACGAATTGCGACGAAAAAAGTCTGAGTTTATATCTTGCAGTTCTGACTTTTTTAAAGATGTAAAGTGAGAATTGCAAGATATGAACTTCCAATTACAAAAAAAAGTCTGAATTGTGAGATTAAAAATTGCAATTACCAATATTTTTAAATTCCATGGTGAAAACGGGCTTAATACACCACAGAAAATGTTGTTTGATTTATGCTTAAAAAAAGAAAGGAAAAAGAAAAAACAATTTCCCAACGAGTAATAAAAATACATTTATTTCAAGAAAAGAAGTTTCGTTTTGTAAATTTGATCAAATAAAGGTAATTCAAGTAGATTCTCTGAAACAAGCATTTTTACATCTCAAGGAAATTTTTTATGGATGTTAGTCCATGTGAATGTAGACATTTTATTGCAAAACAAGGCAGAAATAGAAGAAAATGTTTTGCAGTGTACGGTCACCTGGTTAATGCGTCAGTCAAACTAAATCAGAATTCACAGAGGCCAGTGTTTATGAAGCCCTTGAAAAATAAATCATTGTATGAATACTTTCCAAAACGGGAGATTCGATCGTACGCCAGGATAAATTAAAGCAGAGAGCTGTTTTTCTCTCTGTGTTTTGTTGACACTCTGGCAGCGTTGCAAGCTTGCCAATAATTCACAGTCTCTGTTGACCCTCAAAGTCAGGTGAAGGAGCATCACTGATACGGACACACAGAGCAAACTTTACCTGGAAGATCAAATATGACTGAAACAAAGCAATGCGAGGACATGCATCTGGAGATGGACAGAAACGGTTCTTTATGACTCGGTTTGAGCTGTCAGAAAACAAGCAAAACTCTCGGAACATTTCCCAAATTAAACTGAGCAGCATTTCCTTGCTGTAGGGTCTCTTCCAGTCGCAGACATAGAGACGCACATTATTATATTATATTATAATCATAATAAATAATACACTATTAAAAGAAAAATTCAAAGAAAATATATATTATATATTTATTCTTCAGAATAATAATAATTTAATATAAAATGTTAAAATAATATATTTCATATATTTTTTCTCATTGTACACACACATATATTATGTAAACAAAAACTTTTATTTTGGATGCGATTAATCGCGATTAATCGTTTGACAGCACGATAAAATACAAATAATGAATATAATGAATACAAATTAATATAAAATACAATTAACATATTCGGCCCATATTTAATCCTAAAAAATAATTGTTTAAAAATTAAATATTTCTGTTTTTTATTTTACATGTTTTATATAAAATTTGATTTTTGTAAAAATTACATTAAATATCATTATACCTTATAGTAATTTTACCACAATAAAAATTTTATAATTTATAACTGATAATTATGTATAGTTCATATAATTCTATAGCAATAATAATTTTATATAAAATATTTCAAATAAGTCTAGTTTCATATAAGCCTACATTAACATTTGCATTGTGACATTATCAATAAGCTATTTCTCATTTTGGTTTTTGTGTGAAATGTGTTCATGTTCTTGTTAAGTGATGTGAGATTCGCTCATTGCTCACCTGTGATGGTGATTTTAGCAGACCACTTGGACGTTCCCTCCAGCACAGCCTGTTTGGCCGTCTTCAGGTGAGTGTTGCAATCTTCCTTCGAGAGCTGAAACATCTCCTGGATCACCTCGAACACCTCGGGCCGGTTCTTCTCCCTGATCTTCATCCGCTCCTTCATAGCCATGATGATGTTTTGGGTTTTGTCTTCGGCTCCATGTTTTGAGCTCTTCTCCACAGCACCTGCAGAGTGATTTACAGTACATGTGTTCTTACATTATCACTGCTGATATGAGCTGCCATTACAATTTGCACACTGTTCGCCCTAAATAGTATGCAAGTTATAGAAAAACGCATCCTGCTGGATTCTAATTATTTCCGTGTACATAAACGTACCTCTAAGCACCTACATTTTTGTCAGAAAACATGCCAACAACAGGCTAATCATGTTAGCAACATGTTAATCGCTCTACAACATGCTAATCATGCTAAAACATGTTAAAAAACATGCTACAGCAGGTTAGCAATGTGCTAACAACATGCTAATCATGTTAAATCATGTTAACATGCTACAATATGTTAGCAATGTGCTAGCAACATGCAAATCATGCTAAAAACGTTAAATCAACAGCCTAATAATTTTAGCAACATGTTAATCATTCTACAACATGCTAATCATGCTAAAACATGTTCAATCATGTTAACATGCTACAATATGTTAGCAATGTGCTAGCAAACATGTGAATCATGGTAAAAACATGTTAAATCATGTTAACAAAATGCTAAAATATGTTAGCAATGTGCTAGCAACTTGGTAATCATGCTAGAAACATGCTAATCGTGCTAACAACATGTTAACAACATGCTAATCATGTTAAAACATACTAGTAATCTGCTAAACCATGCTAGCAATGTGTCAATCATGCTAACAACATGTTAACATGCTAACATCATGCTAATCATGCTAAAACATACATGGCAATCATGCTAGCAATTCACGTTACCAACATGCTACCAACATGCTAATCATTCTAAAAACATGCTAGTAACATGCTAACCGTGCTAAAACATGCTAGGAAACATACTAATCATCCTAAAACATGCTAATCATGCTAAAAAAAAACGTTAAATCGTGTTAACATGTTAAAATATGTTTGCAATGTGCTAGCAACATGGTAAACGTGTTAGAAACATGATAGCAACGTGTCAATCATGCTAACAACATGTTAACATGATAACCATGCTAGCAACATGCTAATCATGCTAAAAACATACATGGCAATCATGCTAGCAACAAGCTTATCATGTTACCAACCTGCTAATCATTCTAAAAACATGCTAGCAACATGATAACAACATGCTAATCATGCTGAAACATGCTAGGAACATGGTAATCATGCTAAAACATACTAATCATGTTAAAAACATGTTAAATCATGTTAACAACATGCTAAAATATGTTTGCAATGTGCTAGCAACATGGCAAACATGTTAGAAACATGCTAGAAACATGTCAATCGTGCTAACATGTTAAAAACATACTAGCAATGTGCTACATCATGCTACAGTAGCGGCATGATTATCAACATCTATCTAATCTATCTTTCTAAACTTTCAAGCTTTGACAACAGCTTCAAACTTTCAGGTCAGACTTTCTCAAGCCAACCTAAAGTTTGTCTTTAGTCTCAAATATTACTTTTAAGTGAAGAGCAAAAAATAACTTAACCATATTGACTGCAGTTTACTCAATGGCCACTGGTGTCACTAATAACACAGGTTTCTAAATTCTACATATATATAGTCCCTTTAAGAGCTAATAGCCATTTAGTCCAGTTGATTTTGAAGTATATTTAGTATTGCAGATCTCTAGATGACTTAGTGGAGTACAGATGACTCACTGTATCCCTCGGCACCCTATTAAAATGAATAATTCATTCAGAAAAGCATCATAAACACCAAATGAAAGCTTTATAAGAGTGTTCAAGAGGCGCTGGATATAGGAATAAAACAGCGTGACTGTTTACAGGTGTCTCGCCCCAAATGTGACCTGAAAACGACGGAGGTTTTTTCTTTCACAAACCATACAAGCCAAACCAAACGCACATTTAAACACACACTTTTAAATATGATGGCTCATTTAATAAATCTCTCTCTGTACAGGCCCATTTGTGTCTTTGGCAGACGGCCACGTCTGTGAGGTTTACTAGGGAACTCCATCACATATATCTCAGCCACAGTCCGACTTTAGCGCACGTCTGAGAGCACTGTGCTGCGCACTGGAGTCTTACCATAGAGAAAATGGTTATTCTCTTAGTGCCGAACTGTTTGAATGGCAAACCAGAGAAACAATAAAACAAACAGCTGCCGAAAGCAAGCCGTCAGAGCCAAGAGCTGCCATGCGATGTGACAGACAGACAAAGGCATTTCAAAATGATGAGCACTGCTTATGGGCTTGCAGCGTGATAAAGCAGACTTACATTTTCTGAAGAAAAATGTGTTCGCCCATGCAAAACTCACTGTTACAATGCTAAAGTGTAGCTGAGGAGTGTTTTTCAGTTTCTGCAGCTTTTCACGATTCAGTGATTGTGGAACACGACACAAAATCACTTTTTTTTTTGCATAATTGATGCATAATTCACCATTAACTGCAAAATAAAAAAAGCGCAGTGCTACTGAGATATCGACATGTTAGTATGATGTCTAATCTGTGTCGTTAATGTTAATCAAACAGCAAAAGACAAGAGAAAATCACTCCTTGCTCTTGACTGAATAACTTTAGTAGCTTTAATAAGGATCAGTATATTTAAGTCATGCACAGAAGTGATTTATTTTACATCTGATTATTTATTTTCTGTAGTATTTTGTGTGTTTCTGCCACAGAATAAAAAACATGAAAAAGGGAACTTTTTATCTCACAATTTGGACTTTTTCACGTAACCATCATAATTTATATCTCAGTATTGCTAGAAATGAACTCAGAATTCTAACTTTCTCGCAATTCTGACTTTTTTCTCTGAATTATACGTTTACAACTTGCAATTTTCAATGGAATAAAAAAAATGTAATTGCGCCTTTTTTCTCAAAATTCTGACATTTGTTTCTCAGAATTGGGAGTTTTTATCGCACAATTCTGCATTTATATCTTGCAATTCTGTGTTTATGTCGTAAAATTTCTCTGAGTAAAAAACTTTTACTTTTTATCTCACAATTTGTACTTTTTTCCTTTCAATTCTGGGGAAAAAGTCAGAATTGTGCGCAAAAAAATCCTCGGAATTGACAAATGAACTCGGAATTGCAAAAAAGTCAGAATTGTGAGATAAAAGTTGCAATTACCAATAATTTTTCTATTTGGTGGCGGAAACAACCTTCCATCTAAAAACTAAAACCTGCCTTTTATTATTTCTCTTTATTTAATTTGTACCTTTATCCTATTGTTTGTAATTTTTTTAATATCTTGTTTCAGAATTTGATGAGATAAACAAGCTTTCTGCATTTTTTTTCTGTTTCATGTATGAATTTTGTACATCTAGAATCATATTGTACATGATATGGTAAATGTGGTATCCTAATTGTTAAAATAGCATCACATATCTTACACAAAATTCTGTAAAATTACACCCACAAAATCAGTCATTTTGATAGCAGAAAATGAATAAATAAATAATTTAATTAATAAAAAAAAAAATGAAATCTTGGTGGGACTGGCTCTTAGCATCTATATCTCAAAGACTTTTACACCCATTTTAATGCAGAAGTAATAATGATGCTTGACTGAGAAGTTTTAATGGTGAATAAAAGTCCAACTGCATTCTCTAAAGATGGATTTGAGCTTCTCCTCTCTTGCTTACATGATCATTTGGAGCACTGAGATCGGGTAAAGAGGGCTGAAATCTGAATGACTGACTCACGTTGCAGACAGTCTGCGTTCAGGAGGTCCTGGCATTTCTCGTGGCATTTGACCCCGCATTCGGTGCAGCGCATGCCCTGCCGGGCGATGCCCCACAGCAGACCCTCACACTCGTGACAGTAGGTGGGTGCCGTGGCCGTCCAAACCTCAAAATTATGGGGCGTGGTGGAGGAGATGGGATAGATCAACGCTTGCAGGGTCTTTCTGAGCACGTGCAGTTTCTGTGAAAAGAGAGAATTTACATCAAGAGGGCAGAAAGATGCACAATCAATGTTTTTCTCAAATCAATGAAGGTCTTAGAAGAAAAATGAGCATTCGTAGTGATCACAGCACTCGATATGCACACTACTGCTGTGAATAAATGTGGTTTAAAAAACATTAATTTATTTTATTGCTGTTTCCAGGATAACTTGTGCTCCTACTGCTGTGAATAAATGTGGTTTAAAAAACATGAATTTATTTTATTGCTGTTTCCAGGATAACTTGTGCTCCTTAGAGTAGCTACCAAGAAAAACACTGCAACTTTGAGAAAGATGAGCATCAAGTATGTAAAAAAAAATATATTTTGATATTTTGGAGACTCATTACTTATTTTTCTAAATATTTTTGTATTTGCTCTGAAATGGTTTAAAGTTCCTTTTTTATAAATAAGAGGCATTGTTATTTAATATCATTGAGATGCTATTATAGTGTTTTTTTATATATATTTTAATTAGTATTTTTGTATTTTCCATTTTCATTTTAATTAGTTTTAGTATTTTTGCTGTGTTTTTGTAACTTTTATTATTTATTGTTTTTTTATGTCTACTCATATTTTAGTACATCAAGTTAAACTACATGAAAATAAGAATTGTTGTTTTGGCAGATAGCTGAGATAAAATAAGTTTACTTTTTTACTTTTTATTTGAGTTAACATCTGGATTGTGGATGTTTATATGTGTGCACAAAGTAAAAAACAATTTAAACTATATTATTATATAAACACTATTATATATATAATATTACACACCTTTTTAGCTAAATTAAAAAGTAAATAAAAAATAAAATAAAATTACTGATTTAAATAAGAATACTTAAGGATTTTCGTTGATATGGATCAGTATAAAAATGCATAGCAATATTTACCTACACATATTTATAATGAAACACATGAAAAATACCATACTGGGACTTTAGTGAATCAAGTTTCAAAACAATCACTATCTCCAGCAAAATCAATGCGAGTACACTGTGAAAAATTTAAGTGCATAATATCTATTTTAATTATTAATCTGACATATATTTCTAAATCAGATTCATATACATGCTCTGCAGTTCAAGATCTCCGCTCATAACAAAACACTCACAGATGCCTCGGTCAGCTGGTGTGCAGAAAAATCATAATATAGTATTTGTTTTTAAAGATATCATGCTGATATTCATTTCACTAATTATGGCGCACATGTGAAGCCCACACAGTGTTTTCAATCTGTCCTTGTTGAGACTAACAGGGTGAATCTCACAAAACCAAACCTGTGAAGAACATGCACGGTATGCCACACTTCACCCCCAAAATAAACAGAAATATATATAATAAGCTTATTATTCCATCCTAATTTCTTTTGAATCTGAAGTCATGTTCTTGACAGTTTTGTGGGATTCGCTCAGTGGACATTCGTATTCGTTGTGAATAGTTTGCTTTCACAGGCAAAAGTGGTGGAGAGAATCTGATGGCATCTTCTGTATCCTTATGAAAGAGCAGAATTAATGTGCACATAAATCTGTCCTTTTACAGCTGGAAAAGACAAAGAGCGAGCGAGAGTGAAGTAGAGGTGGGCTGGTGATGTACGGCACTTTCCTTTCCCATGATGCACTTTTGCTGAGACGTGTGTTCTGCTCTCCGCCCACAGAGTCATTACGTTAAGAGCTGCCGAGATTTCAGCGTCCAAACGGCTATTAATGAAATAAAGCAAACTAAAAGTACTGCAGAGTGAAAATGCAGGCTAATTAGCTAAGTAAACCTAAAAAAAGACAAACTGAGAAACTTCCCTCATCGAACTCTCTGAGGGGAAATTTTGATACAAAACAGCAACAGCATCAAATACAAAGTGAAAAAATAACTGATAATGCACAAATGAAACTGTACCGAATGATTAATGGTGGTTGTCTTAGTTATATTAAACACTTAAATGGGTCACATCATACATTTGGTCAATTAACTTTTCCCTGAGATCCACTTATGAAGTCAAGGTTTAATGCATGAGTTGTGTTGAATGTTTCTTCATCAGATTTGGAGAAATGTAGCACTGCATCAGTGTCTCAGCAATGGATGCTCTGCAGTGAATGGGTGCCATCAGAATGAGAGTCCAAACAGCTGATAAAAACATCACAATAATCCACAAGTAATCCACAGCACTCCAGTCCATCAGTTAATGTCTTGAGAAGCCAAAAGCTGCATGTTTGTAAGAAAAAAATCCATCATTGAGACGTTTTAACTTCCAAAAGTTTGTCTTGTCTAAAACAGGGGAGAAATCTGCACAAATCAAGCCAAAATGGTTCTAAAATATATATTTGTTTAGAGCTGTTTTGGCTTGTAAACGGTGCTTGATCTGTTCACATTTCTCTTCTGATTCAGACAAGACGGCCTTTTTGAAGGAGTGGATTACTTGTGGATTATTGTGATGTTTTTATCAGCTGTTTGGACTCTCATTCTGACGGCACCCATTCACTGCAGAGCATCCATTGATGAGCAAGTGATGCAATGCTACATTTCTGCAAACTATTCCTTTATCTCAGATATGTGATGTATTACCACAAAAATCATCCCTACACAAACATATCATGATCAAAAAATTTTAATTATGTTTGTCATACCAACTTCATATATATATATTGCATTTATGAGGTCTGATTGCTGCTGGCCGTTACATGCTCGACCCGTAACGTTATGCAAATGAGGAGGAATTAACAGCTGGCAAAAACGGAAGAGGACTTTCCAATTTAAACTAGCGACTCTGGAGCAACCAGATGAGTTATCCTCCAAATTAAACACTGGGCTATCAGCCAGAGAGAGAGGGAATATCCATGGAGTAATCGCTCACACTGAACAAAGCGGTCAGGAGTGTCACAAACTCCAGCAGAAATGAGGGACGGAGGAATTAAACCATCTGTCAAAACACACAGCCTCTGACCCACACGCCTCACAGCATCTTAAAGGCACAATATGTAATTTTTCGCTGCTAGAGGGCGCATATTCAAAATAAACAAACAAACAAAGGCGTAGTTTGATGACGCCGTGACTGAGTGTGGAACAGATCGTTCAGCCCAAAAACGACAACACTCACGCTCACGACGTTCCAAACCCTTTCTTTTGTGTTCAACAGGAAAAAAACGAGCATGTGAGTTTGGAACGACTTGAAGGTGAATAAATAAAGATTTTCATTTTTTGGAGGAACTAAGCCTTTAACTGTTGGAAAACAGCAGCTCGTCCTCTGAGAAACACCAGCCAATGAAATGTTTGGAAGCGTCCTCCACGCCTGCAGCCCTCGGCTTCCAGACCCACTGCGGTGATGTCTTTGGTTGGGATGTGTTTCTGCGCTGGAGGCCAATGATGCTGGAAATGCCGTGATGCCACGCGATTATTGCGCCAGAAGACCTGCTGACTGCATCTGTACGGATCATGAGCACTGCTGTTCAAAAGTCTGGGGGTTTTCTTTGAAAGAAAGTAATACTTATATTCAGCAAGGATGCATTAAACTGATCAAACGTGAGAGTGAGGTCATTTATAATGTTAGATTTCTATTTCAAAGAAATGCTGCAAAAATATTAATCAGAACAACTGTTTTCAACATTGATACTAATAATCAGAAATGTTTCCTGAGCTGCAAATTAGCATTTTAGAATGATTTCTGAAGGATCATGTGACACTGAAGACTGGAGTAATGATGCTGAAAATTCAGCTTTGCATCTCTACACAAGCTATCAAAATATTAAGCAATATTATTTTTAATTTTTAAAGGCTTCTTATAGTGAGAAATCAAATTTGAAATAAGAGTTTGTAAATTTCAGCATTCATAACTTCCTCCAGAAGACTATTTTTTAAAACCAATCCACAAAAACAGCTTGTTAGGATGGATAATATTATTATTGCAAAGCAGCAGAATAACTATTAAACCACTATGTGGTAATCTGTGTTCACATCCATTCATATACATGCAAATGCATGTGTAGATGTTTATATAGTGAAACATATTATGACTTCAGCCAACCTAAATGCTACAGATTGATCTTTGACTTGCAAAGCTGCATGGTTTGCAATATATTGAAAGTCTATAATAGTTTAAAATTTGAGTTTATTATGACTTTGTGTTTACAATTTATTGTTTATAAAAAACAAGCCATACAGTATGATATATCCTGTTGCTCATATGCAAAGACCAATAAATGCAAAGAGACCATTTGCATAAAAGATACGGCAGCAAAAAAAACGTCAAAGAGAATAAAGAATGCTGGTCATGCAAAACTAAATAATGAATGTTTCTGGCACAGAAAACCTTGACTAACATGATCTCAGTTTCGCTGAATAATGTCACGGACCGAATCCAAACACTCTCAGTTGATTTTTCTCCCTCTTGCTGTGAGTGTTGAGGACGGATATAATGATATAACAGTTTCTGTCCTTGTTTTCCGGTGTCTTCTTAAGCATATGGGCTGCTTTCGGCACGCTGTTCTCTCTCGGAGGGATTGTGTCTCTGCTGTAATTTCTCCCTCACATTGTTTCTTTCGCTCTCTCGCTGGTGTTTAATGCATTAAAAAACTTCAGACATCTGTTCGGCCTACTCAGAAATCTGCCGGCCAGCTCTCTATATCTGATCCTCCGCCGTTTTAGGTCTAAGACCCGTCGAAGGCTGTTTGGAAACAGGTGCATCTAAAAGAGTGATTGTGCTGCTGCTATTCTTCAGAGGAAAACTAGTGTTGGATTAAGGGCGAATGGACCGGCCCATTGGAGCCCGGCTCTGACCTGTCTATTTATCACTCGCTAACGCTGCCTTCAACCCATGCCGCAATGATTGCATTGTATAACGCGATGAGAAAAACACTACCGCAATGCTGTGAGACTAGTGGGAATCGCTAGATTTCCTCCAAACTTGATGCAGCAAAAAACAGGGTTGAAAAATCAAGGTTGAAACTAGTCACAGCCACAGTTTTAATGCCAGGTTAGTGCAGCCAAATCACTGTAAGATCCATGACGTCTGATATTATGCTATCAAGCATTTCCCTAGAAACCACACAATATCTATGAATGCATTTTGTGCAGCTCTAGAAGGGCAAGTTCACCCAGACACAACAATTCTGTTATCATTTGCTCACCCTCTTGTTGTTTAAACCTGAAAAGTCCATACAGTTAAAGTCAGTGGGGTCCAAAACAGCACAGGACCCCACTTGCTTTCATTGTGAGGATGCAAAAACATTGACTGTTCTTCAAAATGCCTTCTTTTGTGTTAGTCAGACAGGTTTGGAATGAAATGAAGGTGAGTAAATGAGTTGTTTTTTTTGGCGTGAACTACCTAATTAGGTGTTTTTTTTTGTTGTTTTTTTTTTAAATATGACTTATTCAGCTGTTTTATGAGGTAACAGGCTTGTGTGACTAAACTACGTTTCCCATCATGCTCTGCAGCAGGACAATAGTTATAGAGTACACTTTTTCAGCGCCCTTGTTTCTAAAAGTCTTTTTCCCATTCATTTTTCCCATAAAGAAAAAAAAAACAGTTACAAGGTGAATCACAACATTACAAACGCTGATTTTAAGTAAATAATAATAATAATAATAATAATAATAACAAAATAAATAAATAAAATAAAAATAGGACAAAAACACAAACATTTACTTAATGGCTTTAATGAGGGAAAGAACTACACTCACATGAAGCATTGCAAATGACATGACTGAAAACCATGGGAAAATATAAAACTATCGTTTTAAAGACAAAATGTGTGTATATATATATAGTTATATTTTGGCATGACTAGCTTGTTTTGACTGTCTGATTAATCTTTATATATATAGCTTTATCTTTGTCTTTATCAGTTCTTTATTGTCTCCATAAGGAGAAATTTGTCTTGAGCAGTCAAGAGAGCAGATCCGCTTTAAAAAATAACACACACACACACACACACACACACTAAAACAAAACAAAACAAAATCACAATATTAATATTCCACTTACATACACTAAATACATTTCCCAATACCCAACACGGATTTCTTTGGAGATTTCTTTGAAGAATCATGGGTAATGTAGTTTGTCACCAGGCTTCCTGCTGTTAAACATGATTATAATAATAATTTGAAATAATGCAAGCTGATGCAGAAGCATATACCATTGATTAACAACCTCGTAGCTCACATTATGTCTGTCTTTACTGGTCTATATGTTTTTGTTAAAAATCAGTTCGGAGAAAATGAATGGGATTTTTACATCCGGAGCCTGACTGTTGCGCTCTGTTATAAAATAAACAGATACGTCATACATTACATGCCTAATGCACATCCAGGTAATTTTGTTGTCACAAAAGGCATCCTGTTTTTTTTTTGGTAGATGAAAACAGAGAGAAAGAAATGGGAAATTACTCAGCATGTCCATTCTGTGCCTGAACGCACATCATGTTATAATTAAAACTCCCCAAACACATAAGCAGAAAATTCCCAGGCTGTGTTAGTCTTCAGCTCAGGTATATTCCTGCACTGGACATCACATCACACTCTGTCATTCTGGGCCGTTCATTCAGCGGATCAATTAATGGGAGGGAAGAATGTCTGGAAAAAATTAGAGTTATTCTTCTTCTATTGATTGAGACGTTCTTTCCTCTCTCAGGGCTTTGGCCCCTCCGTCGAATTAAAGTAAAGAATACAATTCAAACGAGAATTATCGATTGACACCCAAATAATCAGAAAACATCTTAATGCGGATACAACAGCGATATCACGACTCTTTAACACTGATAAATGCTGTTCGTTTTAAACTTTCTATTTATTAAACAAGCCTAAAACAAGTATATAAAATCGCAGTTTCCACAAAAATATTGTGCAGCACAACTGTTTTCAACATTGATAATAATCAGAAATGTTTCTTGAGCAGCAAATCAGCATATTAGAATGATTTCTGAAGATCATGTGACACTGAAGACTGGAGTAATGATGCTGAAAATTCAGCTTTGATCACAGGAATAAATTACAGTTTAACAGATATTCACATAGAAAACAGCTATTTTAAATTGTAATAATATTTCACAATTTTACTGTATTTCTGATCAAATAAATGCGGTTTTTGCTAGCAGAAGAGACTTTAAAAAATAAATAAATTCACTCAAATCTATATTTCATGTCCATTTATTTATTTAGTTACTGTAGTTTGTAAGTAGCAGTGTATTAAGTCAATACTTATGAAATTAATATATACTTAGTGGGTAGCTGCTGTGCATCAGGGTTTATTTTGTGACAACGAAATTAGAGATTATAAATAGTCTTTTTTTTATCTTGTTCATTTGTTTTTGCCTCTGGCTCTGACGTGTGTTTCTGTATCAGTTGTGACTTTATGCATGAGCTTTACATTAGTGCCACATGATCGCTCCTCATTAGACTCTGACTGGCTGCTTACAGAGTGATTTATGCACGAGTCTATATGGTGAAAGCGCTGTGCGTATGTGTGTTTAAAACTCACCAGCTCCTCGTTGTTCAGAGTCGTTCTGTTCACCAGCCCAAACGCAATGCCTGCCTTTCGAGCAGCCAATGTCTGAAATGAAGAAAGTAAACAGTGAGAAAGGCAACTCTGAGAAACGCATCAAACGCTACAGGGTAGAAATCAGTTGTGTTAGGCTGAATGTTATCGTGAGACACCAAGATAAAACTTGATTACTCAGGGTGGGAAACCACTTTCACCTTCAAGCAGATATTCACCTGTTACCCTACAGAGCGCAAGTCTCCGAAAGCTCTTCATTTTAGGTTCAAGAGAAGGAAATGTTGCAGAAAAGAAGAAAATTCTGCACCGTGCTATATGCTTTAATTTATTAGGTTTACTGCGATTTTAAATATTTCAGGAGACAGACTTGATAATGAACTTGATAATGACTTGATAATGAAATGATAGCTCTATCCTAAAACTAGTGCTGCTGTCTACATAAAGCAAATATAACAGCCCATCTTAACAGGAAAGAACGTGTTTTTCTGAGCTTGCTGCTATGCATTTATAGGACTGTATTCTCTATTAAGGATACATGCAATCCCGCCTTAAAATGTGATCAAAATGCATGCATTTAAGAATAGCCTTAACACCACAAGTGTGCACAAAATGCTTAAAAATGCTGTCTAGTAGGTAGATGGCTCACTAGGATTTGAAACAGAGCTGATATTTTCTGTTATGCATGCTCAAATTATGAAACAGTCTTCATTTTTACGTCAAATAAAGAAAGCTCTATTATTGTTGCATGTCGAAAAATGTCCCTTGCAAACTCCAAAACAAATATGAATGAATACATAAGTGCATAAATAAATACACAAAATAAATATAAAAAAAAAATAAATGAAATGGAAAAAGTCTTCATTTTTAAATCATTAAAGAATGCTCTATTATTTTTGCATGCTGAAAAATGTTCCTTGCAACCTCAAAAACAAATATGAATGAATGCATAAAAATATAGTATAAAAACAGATATAATAAATAAATATAAAATAAATAAATAAATGAATAGGACAAATAATAAATTAAAGAATATAAATTAAATCAATAAAATATAAAAATATAAAAATAGCGGTGCTATTTGTCCATCCAAATGAAGAAAATATGAATTGTCTTCAAATTTCTGCCCATTTAACACAAACATTGAACTAGTACAGTGTACAGTAATGTACAGTACAGTACATGTATAGCAATGTTCTGTTGTCACTTTTATTAGTGTCAGAAAAAAGCATTTTAAAAGGAACCACCTAATGAAAACAGCTTCAAACAAGCTTCCACGGCACCATAAAATCATGTCTAATGAGCTAGAACAAATTAAAGTGAACTTTAAGCATATTTAGCAGCTAAAATAATGTCATTTTAGTCTTTCCACCAAACACCGAACCACACAGGGGATTGTTGGATACCATAGGCAGATAAGGACACATCTGTGCTGCTTCAACTGACTAGATGAAGGTATCCAAGTAGACAAACACTGGATTCATTAAAATGCAAGAGACTTACCAAAGCCTAGAGTGTCCAGATGCAGGGAAAAACATAAAAAACACACAAAATTAGACATTTAGCAAAGGCAAGCAGCCATTTACACACAGTAAGCACATCTCTTTACGTCATACCTGCCGCCATGCAGAAAATCAGATCGAGTTTTTGGTCTAAAGAGCAGAGTGAAAGCTGCAGAGGTGAGGCTCAATCCTTAAATAACTCACCTCTCATGCAGGAGAAATTTACAGTTCACTCATGCATTTGCTGTGCAATTGTTTAGTTAAGATACTGAAAGACGCCCTGACATATTCCTACTGCCTGCGAGTACTGCTACAAACAGACAAGACCAGACGGCATGTGTCAAAGCCAGCTCAAAAAACACGATCCAAAGAGTTCAGGACAGAGAAAGAGAGCAAGAAAGAGTCAATGAGGGGGAAATGGGAGCCGGTCAGAAGTCAAAAAGCCACGATTAGCCATATTTAGATCGGCAGGCACTGACAGCGGACCATACTGGACTCGTCTTTACCATCCGACCCTGAACCTAATGGTGGTAAAGACCAAGCGGGATGCTAACGGCCCCTTAAAGCAGGGGTGCATAGGAAAATCGGGTAGATTTGACCTCTACATGAACGCCAAGTGTTGATGTAAGTCTCGACATGCACTTGAATTGCTGAGGGTTGCTGCAGGCAATGGATTCTTCTGAATTTTGACTTAAAGCCCCGGCTGCAGTTTTGGGCGGGTCCCTCGATCCCCACCCTCCCGTGACTGACTGTCGTTGCCCTGAAGCAATCACACAGCCAACAAGGGGACAGAAACAGGGGACAGAGGCATGATGGGATAGACCAGATCTGACCCAGTACAGCACTGACTTCATCCACGCTGTAAAAGGCTCATTGGCGCAGGTCACTTTTACATGGATTTAAAATGGCACACAGTTAAATCAGAAGTCAATGAAGTCCTCAGATATATTTTTGGGTGGAGTTGTCAACATTTCGGTTTCGAATGCATCGATTGAGTAGAAAACAATAATTTTGGAGAGAAATCTGACAACTCACGGAAAAATATCGCCCATACGTCAATATGGGCCCAAGTGGGAATGGACCACAGGACACGGCAAAAAACCAAAAGAAAACTGAACGATGACCCGTACTTACCAAAACAGGGTTGGGTTTTAATTTCATGCAAAATATGGACAGATACAGCATCAACATTTGTCCTTCAGAAGCTGAACACAAAACTCAATGCAAAAATCGGTTAAGAAACTTTCACTTTAACAAAATCAAGAAGAAACAATGGACACAAAGACACGGACTGCAAGAGCTCAAACAAGAAAAAGAGAAAAAGAAATCCTTCGAAATGTTAAAGGAACAGTTCATCCAAAATTGAAAATTTGCTGTTAATGTACTCACCCTCAGGCCATCCGAGATGTAGATGACTTTTTTTTTGTTCTTTAGTAGATCTTTAGTAGATTTTTAGCTGAAACTGTGGTCCTTGGTGATTCATAAAATGCAATGGCTACAGTTACTTTGAGAGTCAAAAAAATTATATCAGGCAACACAAAATATAAATACCCGTGGCTCCTGACGATATATAGAGGTCTTATGAAGTGAAACAATCAGTCTGTGCAAGAAACTGAACATTATTTACAGCATAATTACCTGTAATCCAGAGCCTCAGGCAAACAGGTTCGCGAACCGATCATTCTTTTGAACCGATTCTTTTAAGCGAACTGAATGAATCAGTTCACCAAACCAGACTGAAGCTTCTGAATCAGTTTGCGGCTCGAATAGGGATATGCCGGTATCAAATTTTCATGTTGCGATCAATTGCTAATGCTTTTATCACGGTATACGGTATTATCACGATATTGAAATTTAGTTTTAAAAAGTGCTGTCATAATACAGTATAACAGGTTTAATAACTTTTTTCTTATAACAAAAATAACTGAACATTTAAATGCAATAAAGCAATACAGAAAAATGTATAAAGCTAAAAGTTTTACACAGATTAAAGTGCAAAAGAACTATAAAGACCAATAGGTATCCCTTTACAATAAGACCTCATTAGTTAACCTTAGTTAATGCATTAACATTCACAATGAGCAATATCTACATTTGCTACAGAAGTTATTAATTATAGTTATTAAGTCTTAGTTCATGTTAGCTCATTAAATAACACAGTTACAACTTTCGATTTTAACAACGTGTTATTAAATATTGGAATACCTAAGATTAATGAATGTTCAGAAGAATTTTTCATTGGCAGTTTATGTTAACTAATGAATGAACTAATGTTAACTAATGAAGCCCTAACGTAAAGTGTGACCGAACAATAAAGAATCAAAACAATATCTAGGGCATGTTATAGTCCAGATTAAAATGTAAAAAAAAGATTGAAAATAAATAGCCTATTAAGTCTAAATATTGAAGTATTTGGCTCTGTGATGAACATCATAGCAAATACACAAATCTGAATGGCTGTTTAAATCATTTAAACACGATTCAGAAACAGAAAGTACAGCAGCTGCTTTGTTTACAGGGTTTCATTTAAATTCATTATTATTATTATTATTTCTGCAGTTTAGTGCCATCTGCTGTCAGACAGTGAAAGTGCGCTTTCATCCAGAGCATCTCACATGTTCTGCCATGTGCTTCTCGTCCGCGCTTATTTACATCGGAGTGCGCAGGTGTCTTTCACGCAGCATACAACAGGTGTTGTGCATTTTGACCAGCTGATGGGAAAAGTATTCTTAAAATGCATTAAAAATTCTGAATAATTTGTAATATATAATTATTCACGGTATTTAGAAGAGCCCACGATAACAATATCGTGCATATTCATTACCGTGATATATCGCATTACCGAATACCGAATACCGGCACAAGTCTAGGCTCGAACAGCACAGATCTAATCAAAATCAAAACTCACTTTCAGATGCCTGATAGTCACTCCGACTCGAAATGAGTCAATATACTGGCATACATGATCCTATGATGCTGGTTTTTGACAACATATTCAGCGCTCCAGTTCCTCCAACAGTCACTGAACTGAGGAAACAGTTTGACTCAGACCAAAGACCGATGAGCTGCTGATATGAAAATGCGTGAACAGAGCTTGAATGAAGGGGAGAAAACATTTAATGTTTTTTTTCATTGTTTATGCAAAAAGATGTGCTGATGAAAACTAGTTAATTGCTTTAGATATGTAAACCATATATATGTGACGTCATTGTGTGATTACATGAATGAACCAATGAACTGAACCAGTTCATTGAAGCGAACTGTCTGAAAGAATCAGACTGTGAGGCTCTGGATTACAGGTAATAATGTGGTAAATAATGTTCAGTTTCTTGCACAGACCGATCGTTTCGCTTCATAAGACCTCAATATATCGTCAGGAGCCACAGGTATTAATTTTTTTCAGCTAAAAATCTTTTTTACTGTTCTACTGAAGAAAAAAAGTCACCTAAATCTCGGATGGCCTGAGGGTGAGTAAATTAACAGCACATTTTCATTTTTAGGTGAACTGTTCCTTTAACAAATGCAAAAATATAATTAGAAACATACTACAGAGATGCTGTGGATCAATCATTCGCCATCTAGAATCTCATAAATTAAACAGCACTTCATTATCAATATATGAGCACTACACATTTAAAGACAGGACAGATGATTTGAACTGATTTGCAGATATTGTGGAGAACACCAGGCGGGTGACCTACTTTTACTCTGGTGGAGCGTAAAAGCCTCAAAATAGCATCAAAACATAAACAAGTGTGCGCCTCCATCTTGCATGTGCTCTGCTGACAGTGTTGGATTGTAAATTCGGACTAGTGACCGTGTGCTCGGTGGGTCTGATTGGCTAATACAGTCTTCTAAAGCTCCATCAGTCAAACATAACGGTGCCGAGTGTGATTACTCACCAGGTCTCGGACAATAGGCATGGTCCTCTTGCGACGTAAATCTGGCATGCTGTCAATGCCGTACAGTATACTGCCAACCCTGGGGATGGAGGCAGATTTAGAGTCTATTAATACCATAATCATGCTGTACGCTATGAAACATTACCCGGCTAAAAAGCAGTCGGGTGATTTACGGCACCGGCAAATAACATGGGATGGGCAGGAATAGGAAGTCCACCATAACTGCTCTTGTCTCACACAGCCAGCCTAACTGCTTGCATCCATAGAAGAATAATTTGTCAAATTGGGCCGTATAAAGTTACTGTGCACCGCAATGCAATGTGTTCAATTTGATTATTCATTTCAAGTTAAATGCAGTAGATTTTTAACATTACCTTGTGCACTAATTATTTGATCAGATTAAAAAAGGTTGCATTTAATGCAATGCATTTAATGGATTTAATTGGATTAAAAAAGCAGCAGAAATATTTAATATCCTGCCTATATACTTGCATAAACAATGCTTTGATTTTTAATGTCTCCTAATTGAGTTTTCTTTTCTTTGGACCACCAAATGTTATTATTTTACACAAAATTACATTAAAAATGTAAAATAAATATTCAATTTCCAGTGCGATACATAGGCTCACATAAATAATGTTTTTATTTTTAATATCTCCTTCTGAGTTTTTATTTGATTGAACCACCAGATGTTAAAAGAAGTGTACACAAAGTTGCATTAAAATATTAAACAAATATTTAATTTCCAATATGATACCTATATGCTCATATAATTAATGATTTGATTTTTAATTTCTCCTTATAGAGTTTTTATTTGATTGGACCACCAAATGTTAAGAGAACTTTACACAAAATTGTATTAAAAATACAAAATAAATATTTATTTTCCAATGTAATACTACCTATGCTGATATGAATAATGTTCAGATTTTTAATATCTCCTTATTGATTTATTATTTAATTGGACCATCAAAAGAGAATTTAACACAAAACTAACTCTTTATATTCCACATAAAGTCGAAATGGATGCAACGCAATGAAGTCATAAGACAATTTAGCATGCTGCTGTTTGAAATGTTTGTCGTTGCATAATGCATACTGTTTGACATTGTATAGTAGGCAGTATACAGTACATACTGCACAGCATGCAGTATACTTGTATTGTATACACAGCTGTAATAACTCTGCCTGTCAATATTGCTAAAATACACACTAAACTGCTAAAACTACAATTGCTAAAATATAAACTAAACTACACAAGTTTAGATCAGGTCTGGATGTTCTCATACTACACGTGTCTATAAACACAGGTGTTTTTCATTCACGCAGAACCCACAGAAACGTGTGTGTTTTTGTTAGGAAGACAGTGACATCATCAGCACTTAATGAGAACGGGGCCTTTAATAAGAACAAATGCCAACAGTGCCGGCTTTATTTATTTATTTTTGACAGCTCATTACCAGAAATTAAATTCATCCACACTACATTCATTAACCTGGAGTCATACCATTGCAAACAATTAACACTAGATCAGGTCCCAGGAAAATCCACAAATAACATTCCATACCCATTTCTGCTCTTCTGCCTGCGGTCTATCAGCAAAATAATATCTGTCTGTCTGTGTGTGTGTGTGTCTGTCTGTCTGTGTGTGTGTATGTGTGTGTGTGTGTGTGTGTGTGTGTGTGT